CGGGGCTGGGCAGCCGGCACTGCCTCCTCTGCCCGGGCGCGCTCGGCGCTGCGGTAAGTCTCGAGGTCGGGAATCCAGGTCAGCCAGGAGGCGGGAGCGGGAATTTGCCCTGGGCTCGGCTCGTAGCTCGGTCTGGGCCGCGGCACGCGCCACTCGGCAGGGTCGCAGGAAGGCGCGCTGGTCGGGCCGGGAGGCGCCGGAGGGGAGCCCCACAGGCCATCTCGCGGAGGCCGACTCCTGAGGGTCACCTTCACTCTGACGTGTGCAGCAAGCATGTCTTGACGGAAGACATAGTGCACCGGGAGGTGACCCCTGACCAGAAGCTCCTGTCCCGGCGACTTCTGACCAAGACCAACCGGATGCCCCGCTGGGCTGAGCGACTGTTTCCGGCCAATGTTGCTCACTCGGTGTACATCCTGGAGGACTCTATTGTGGACCCACAGAATCAGACAATGACCACCTTCACCTGGAACATCAACCACGCCCGGCTGATGGTGAGGCCCCCTCCCCCGGGGGCCCCCAGAAGCAGAGAGCTACCCGGCACGTGTGGCTAGAGCGCCCCGCAGGAGCGCCATGGCCTGAGACAGGCCTGGGCTGCTGAGGGCCTGGCTCGGGTGGTCTTCGTAGCCAAGCAGTGGGGGAGGGGCACCCACCTTACTGAACCGTCCCCAGTGCCGAGCCCTCAGAGCATCGCCGATGTCACACGCTCGGGGGGAACCCACAGGAGTGATGCCGAGATAGGGAGGATTTTCAAAGGCCGGCAGTCCGTCAAGCACAAGGGCCTTGGCCGTGCCTCGGGGGAGGCTTTGCGCCACTGGCCCCGCTCTGACTATAGGAGTCCTACCTTTAGTTTCTTTACCTAGGACCACCACTGAGCTCAGGAGACCATGTGCCTTCTCGTTTTAAGCGTCAAAAGAGAGGGTTCAGACCGCAAAGTGACCTTTTTTATGGCCTTCCTCTGTCTGCAGATGCCACTTGGGGTGCTGTAGGGGAAGGAGTGGGTTTTCATTTTATTGCTTCCTCTCACGAAGAGACATTTACTTGCAAGTTGACAAAGTGAAAGACCACTGCCAACGTGACTGGCCTCACTCCCTGCACAGGTGGTGGAGGAACGATGTGTTTACTGTGTGAACTCTGACAACAGCGACTGGACCGAAATCCACCGGGAAGCCTGGGTCTCCTCCAGCTTGTTTGGCGTCTCCAGAGCTGTCCAGGTGAGTAGGGCCTGGGGGCTGTCGGGGCTCTGGGGCCCGAAGCTTGGAGCATCAGGGCAGGGCTGGGGTCAGTGGGCAGCTCAGAATCCTTCCCCTTCTCACTTTTGCCAGGAATTTGGCCTCGCACGGTTCAAAAGCAACGTGGCCAAGACCATGAAGGGTTTTGAATACATCTTGGCCAAACTGCAAGGTGAGGGCTCTGGGTACTGCCTGGGGACTCGTAGGGAGAGTTGGGGGTCAAGTCCTAGCTCAGCTTGCCTGATGTGCAGCCTGGCCTGCTGGTCAGTACTGGGGAGGAAAATGCCACCTTTCCAACATGGCCTGGCCCAGAGAGGTCAATGTCATGGGGACAGGTGAGGAGATGGGTCTTTCGGGCGTCCTCTAAAGCCAGTTCCCTGCCCTCTGCTACAGGTGAGGCCCCTTCCAAGACACTTGTTGAGACAGCCAAGGAAGCCAAGGAGAAGGCGAAGGAGACGGCGCTGGCAGCTACGGAGAAGGCCAAGGACCTGGCCAGCAAGGCAGCCACTAAGAAGCAGCAGCAGCAGCAGCAGCAGCAGTTTGTGTAGCCAGCCCACCGCTGCCACGCACCCTGGACAGCTCGGCTTAGCTCCCTCTGCCCCTCCTCGTTAGACTTGATTATTAAAGATCAATTCCAGCCCTGTCTCCTGTCCAGCGGGTGGGCTGGGCGGTGCCTGGGTTGACGGCCGTGCACCAGGCATGTCACCCGTGTCTGGCCGGGCCTGCTTCCCCCACGGGGCAGCTGAGGACAGTTGCAGAAGTGTGGTGGCTTGCCCGGGCCACGGGCAGCGTGCAGGTGCAGCGGCAACAGGCGCCAGGCTGGAAGCCCCACGAGGGCAGGGCTCTCGGTGTTGTTCTCTGATGTGTCCCACATACCGGAACAGTGTCACACACATCATAGGCACTCAATAAATGCCGAATTCAGCCGCTCCAGGTCTGGAGTGGGAACGCTCTGGCATGCGTCTTGACGATGCTGTTTCCTGGTCTTGTACCTCAGACGAGGCCCATCGTGCAGCCTCAACCCCACCCTCAGGGACACGGACACGGCAGCCTCTGAGTTCTGAGTGTGACACACCCTGCCTGGCACAGCCCACAGCATCTGTCGTGGCTGGTCGGACGACTTCTTTTCCACTCAGGTTGGGAGTTCCCCGATTTTCATCAGGCAAGACCATGGACAGGGGAAGTTACAAAAGAGACTTTTAATGAAAATACTGTTCGGGGGGGCAAAGGCCAAGTGTCTCGTCCACCAAGCACGCCGAGGCCCAACAGGCTTCCGGCCCCCTTGGGGTAGCAGGGCCAAGTGCTACATAAAAACTGCCTGGAAAAACAGCCTGGCCCCAAGCCGCCTGCGCTCAGTCCAGGGAGGCCCAGGCCTTCTCCCCTGTAGGGATGACCTGGAGGCCAGCAGCAGGGCGCGGACAAAGGCCCTGCTCCCACGAGCATCCTCAGTCGGTTCCAGCAGGTGATTCCGAGCAGCCTCGAGCCAGGGAAGGGCTCCTGCCTGGCAGGCCGGCCGGCGCGAGCAAGGGCGGTCAGGGCCGAGGACATCACCGCCAGGCGCTGCTGTGTGAGTAGCTGTGCTCCTGGCCCGCGACGAAGCCCCGCAGCAGCTCGGCCTCGCCCCCGAACACCAGGCTCTCCACGTCCACCTCCAGCTCCTCTGCACAGGGAGGGGCCCGTCAGAAGAGCCGGCCCGCCCGCTGGCCGCGCGCCCCGGCCTGGGCACTCACCTTGGTCTGAGTCAGAGCGCTCGGAGGAGAGGCCCGACGAGTCCAGGCTGTCCGCCCGCAGCCGCTCGCCGCCGCCCGCCAGGCCCTGCAGCTGCTCCAGCTGCTGCTGCAGGCTCTGCCGCTGGCCGTGCAGCTCCTCCTTGAGCTGCCGGGCCCGCCGCTCCTGCTCCTCCAGCTTCTGCGGCCGGGAGCAAAGGGCCGGGTCAGCTGCCTGGGGCTGGACCACCCGGCCTCTGCTTCCTCCAGACATCTGGGTCCCCGCCGCCTGCCCCACCCACCACGCACACGCCTGAGTTCTGCCCCGAGGAGGGGAAGAGGACCGGTCTCAAAGCACTGGAGACTGCTCAGGTGATAGAAAGGACAGAGCCGGTGGCTCAGCCTGTAATCCCACACCTTGGGAGGCTGAGGTGAGTGAATTGCCTGAGCCCAAGGGTTCAAGACCCGCCTGGGCAACTTGGCGA